CTTTGAGTGGATCGATAAGCCCGGAATGGTCCACTCCAGTTCTGCTGTACGAGCCAGCTTCTACTCTGCCAGCTTCTTTGTCTCTGAAGGTAACATGTGGCATCTCTGAATGTGTTATGACCGGCACCATTGATTTGTCCATTTTTTGTCTTAGCATATTCCCTCAAAATACCAATTTCATTGAGTTTACTAAACTCGGGTGAAAGTTAAGATGAATGGAGTGATTTTGGCAATTTCTTAATATAACTAATGGGTTTTGGGGTTCAAATAGTAAAGGTTTTTTTTTTTGTTTTGTTTTTTAAAAAAAATCGGATTATGATGGCTTTGCTGTGTTGTAGTGGTGATCAGCTTGTATGCACCTGTATGCACAAGGCTTTGCTTTTCTTTTTGCAGTTTTGACGAAGTCAGCAGCAGCAGGTTCAAATATCCTCAGTTACATATGATCACACTGTATGTCCTGTTGTAATATTATTTCCAAGTTTCATATTTAACGAAAGAAGATGTCCTGTTAGTCGAGGTAACCGTCCCCTACTTACTGTACATTGCTCCACACGTGTTTGTCTGAGTGAGATTACTCAGAATGCAATTGATATATGTTGCTGTAGGCAATATGTAACACATAAAGGCGTGGATGGGGGTTGAACCCATGATCTTTGGTTTACGAGACCAACGCCTTACCACTTGGCCACCACGCCTTCTTAAACTGTGAAAAGATATGTGACCTACCTTGAATACAGCTATTGCTAAAGAAGATACACAGGGTTGTTTGCTTTGTTTAGTTTTCACTTTGCTTTACTTTGCTTGGACTAATGATGAGGCAGAACTGTTCCTGTGAAAGACTGATGGCCTCGTTGTCTTCCCAGAAAGGGTCATGTGATAGAGGTGTGACAACTTCCCAAAAATCCTCACTTCTGCTTGTCTAGACTAATTCCCGCGTTTTCAAACTAAAACAGTGTCAGTGCTGTTCCTCAAAGTCTCAGTTGAGGGTTTTTAAGACAGCATAATGTGCCCGCTAAGGACTAATATGGCAAAAGTAATGCATTTTAAAATGAAGACATATTCATGTAGATGTAGCCTGAATCCTGAAAACCCAAAATGTGGCTTCATGTTTGGACTTCAACCAGCATAGAACAGCCCATATCACCCCACTGTTTACTACTTTCTACTGACTTCCTGCATGTACTTTCTATGTTTTTCCTATGTAGAAGAACTTTGCAATCAGCATGTATGTATTATGCCCGTATGCTCAAGACTTTGCTTTTCTTTTTGCAATTTTGACTAAGAGCACGCTGCAGGTTCAAATATCCTCAGTTACATATGATCACACTGTTTGTCCTGTTGTAATATTATTTCCAAGTTTCATATTTAATGAAAGAAGATGTCCTGTTAGTCGAGGTAACCATCCCCTACTCCACACGTGTTTGTCTGACTCCACTTGTGAGTGAGATTACTCAGAATGCAATCGTTACATGTTGCTGTAGGCAATATGTAAGAGTTCAAGTCTTTCAAAGATGCCTGGCAATCAGAGAGCGTCTCATCTGATTCTGTTAATTGCACATAAAGGCATGGATGGGGGTCGAACCCATGATCTTTGGTTTACGAGACCAACGCCTTACCACTTGGCCACCACGCCTTCTTAGGGAATCAAAAGCTCTTCAGTGTGGATGACTTATCTTGAATACAGCTATAGCTAAAGAAGATGCATAGGGTTGGTTGCTTAGTTTGAGTTTGCTTTGGTTTGCTTGGACCAACGACGAGGCGGAACTGTTCCTGTGAAAGACTGATGGCCTTGTTGTCTTCCCAAAAAGGGTCATGTGATAGAGGTGTGACGAATGGCCGAGCCAAGAAGCAAACGTGTGATCATCCTTTCCAAAAGTCTTCACGTCTGCTTGTCAGAACTGATTCCAGAGTTTTAAAACTAAAACAGAGTCAGTGCTGTTCCTCAAAGTCTCAGTTGAGGGTTTCTAAGACGGCATAGTTGCTTCTCATCTGATTCTATTAATTGTACATAAAGGCGTGGATGGGGGTCGAACCCACGATCTTTGGTTTACAAGACCAACGCCTTACCACTTGGCCACCACGCCTTCTTAAGAGGCTGAAAGCTACGTAGAATGAAACAAATGTAGTTTTAATGCAAATCTAGACACAGGATGAAGCTTTAAATCGTAGGATTAACAAACATATGTGTGGTTCTTTTTTGGGTGGGTGAATAAATAAATATAAGTCCAAGTCATTCCAGATGCATAAAAGCTTATTGAATACGTAAACAGCATGTTTTATAAAAGAAAGAGCAGCTCCATCACCGTGTTGTTGAAGCTTCACCACAGCGTTCAGCTTAATCTCTCTCTTCTTTCTGCTTTTCTCCTCCAGCCAGGAAGAACCAGCACCATTTCTCCAGTCCTGCAGAGGAGGACAGAGCTCTCATCTACAACTTCTCTCCCGTGTACAGAGGCATCCACGCTGTGTTTGTGCAGAACTACTACTTCGATTGATGAAACGTGCCGCGGACGAAGCGGACCTGGGCTCGAGTCTAGTCAGCCGTAGAAACATCTTGGCCCAAGTCGCAAACTTAACTTGATGGAGTCGTCACTTAGAGCCTCGAGCATCGAGTCGCTAATGAAATGCAGCAGAATAGTGACGGGATGTAGTGATAAATAATTTATGATTTAAGATATACTTTAGAAATCGTAACGTTTTAAAATGGTAATAGGAAAATGCCAAAGCAAAATGCAAATACAAAGACATGCAAATGAAAATAAAAAAGTTAAACAGTGCCAATGTCTATAGGTGGATATTACATTTAGAGTTAGGTTACACTCTTTTAGAGCTACTGCAGCAACAATCCAGAATAACGTCTTACTGATCAGAGGTAGTGGAATCTGGTGCATCCATGAGCTACAATGGTTGGATGTTAGATGACAGAGCAGATTTTTGAGTTTAATGTTTAGATTCTCAGTCATCCAGCTCATGCTAATCCTCAGTGCTTCTTTAAAGCACAACTGGACTTGTTTTTTTTTTGGTTCCTGAAAACATTTCTCCAGTTGTAACTGACTTGTTGAGAGTCCCAGCACGTCGCGAGTGACCCCAGACTCATGCCCGGAGGTGTAAATGGTTGTGAAAACTGTCTGAGGAGGGATCTCAGGACTGTCTGATAAGTGGTGTCATAGTGAGTGGCCTCTGTCCAGAATGTGGACATTGCTTTCCTCAAAGTAGCGTCCCTTCTCCTTTAGACCGCTGAGTCTTGTCCTTGAGGAGCTGGATCTCCTGTATTGTGTCAAGAACTTGTGGACCTGTTGTTTAGTCTCCCCTATCTGTAGGTCTGTGCACTCCCCGCTGCATTGGGCTCAATATAAAACACTGCTCAGCTTGTGTTTTATCCAAAAGTATGTAGCTGGTGCAGCACTACAGACCCAGCAACAGTCTTACACAAAAACTGGATCACATCTACGGAAGCTTGCAAGAACCAAAAGAAAGTCCAGATGCCTTTTACTGAAGCACTGATCCTCCTGACATGATTAAATTAGCATACTCGTCATACCCTGTGCTGTTAACACTGCCGTCAATGTAAATTAAGATGCAGTGTTTAGACTGTTTGATGGCTGGATGATTAGAGTTAATAAGATAGGGTCTTTATTGTACCGCAGAATTAATTACAGCATACTAAACACAACAATGCTTATCCAATTTGACAACTCTGTCATTGCAGTATGTATCTGAGCTACCTGCTATAGTCTTATGAAAGAATCCCACTTTAAAAAGAAATGTCCCAGTATATCATATGACTGAAATGCTTTACTGGATGTCTTTGCTGGTATTTTCATCTTTTTAATTATTTTTGCAGGTTAGTTTTGTTATCTCATTTAGGTTTGCATACACCCAGTCTGGCTTTACTTTCCTTAACCGCTGCCATTTCTGTTTTTGTTTTTGTTTTTTCAACCCCTTTAAACCTTGTTGTACGAAGAGTTTCTGGAGAAACTTTTAGAAGGCACCAGCTCCAAGGTCAAAACCCAGCGCTTTCTGGTTTGAAGCATAAATAACCTACTGAAGCTCTGTGTACAGATATCGTTTTTTTTAAAAACCTCTAAATTTTTTAGCATTCCTACTGAGCGTTGCAAGCTAGCATAAACATAGCACAGAAGTTCTGAAGATTGCACATCGCTTGTTGCTTCGTTGGGGAAGGACTCTGGGCCTGTTTTAGCTCCTCAAAGTCCAGGTGGTTGGAAAGAAACCAGAAGGCTTTGTGCTGTCAGTGCTGCCAAAACCTGATTGGGATGCCTCTTAAACCCGGGATTAAACGTAGATAATCAGTAAACACTGAATCATCTCATTTCCCATGTTGAGACTGATCATCAGCAAGAGAAAACTGAAGATCGCTGCAGTTTCATTGTCAAATGATGAATGTAACTCTTCCTTCAGTGGAAACGGGAGCATGTTTTAAGTTTTATTGGCGTTATTTTGTAGGACCACAAGTTACCCTGCATGCAAAGTCTGCAAGCGATACAGCCAGGATTGAAAATTCCTTTTACTTATCTTTGAAGAGCAACCATCTCCTTTTCAAGTTGTGTTATCATTTTCTAACAGCTACTAGCACCGAAGAAAGACCTCATCTCTCCACGATTGTATTGCTGCGTGTCATTCAGTGTTTTATTCCTCAACGGGAGAGTGTTTTGTACACCACGTTGTCAGAGAATGTTACAGATCAGGATATTTGATAGATTATAGTTTTTACATTGTCGCATTTTTACTTCATAACGAGCTTCACCAGGCAAATGACGTTCGCTTTGTACAAATCAAGATGGAACCGCAAAATGCCAGAGCTATGAGCCATCGGCCTACATGCATAATGTGAATCGTACGGATCAATTGTGTGGTTTTTAAAAAATGCAAACTTGATTGTTTAACAGTGTTGATGACCGGCAACCGCTCCAGTATATCAAACCTGTGAGGCTCGTATTTTTTGAGATTAGAAATAAATTACCTTTTTTTCCCATTTCAAATGATTTCCATCCATTTAACACATTCAAACATTATGCAAGAGAAGTGATGAAGAGTACGTCCAAAGTAAACTGATGAATCAATACAATTCTAGACTTTCCCTTTTGTTCTTTCTTAGCAACATCCAAAAACATGGAGCCCCAGTCTTGTCCACATCCCACTTTGGAGTATTATGTAATGTATTTACGAGTTCAAGTCGTTTTGGAAATATGCATTGAACGCACAACTGATTGTACGAGTTGTTGTCCTGTTTGTATGACCGTGTGTCAGACGATCAGACAATAAAAAGGAGTCAAGTAAACCTCCTACGGTCTTTGTTTCCTCATTTAAAGACAAAAAAAAAAGATGGAATGATTTATTGTTTGGGATTTGCATGAAATGAAACATCTAGTTTATGTAATTTTGATGAAATAAACAGTTTTAAGCTTAGACTTGGTTCTGTTACGGAGCAAATTGTCACAGATGAGCAGTTCAAGGACTGTCTGGAATTGAAAAGGTTTTTATTTTTACAGTGTCTGGCTCTGATTGAAGGTGTAATTTTAGCATTTAGCGTTTAAAGATATCTGACAAACTCTTATATCTGGAGCATGGACTGTTGGATGTGGATTAAAACTTGCAGCCAGAGAAAAACAATAAAATGTGATATTGTGTAAAATTGGAAAAAAAAAAAAAAAAGGGGGAGCGAGAGAGAGAAACACTCAACCACTTCAGCCATAAACACACTTTATTTAGAACACAAAAACACAACCCTGTCATGTTTAAATGTTGCCAGACATTTATATGTTCAATGAAGGACCCTATTGTTCATAGTAAGAACACAGGTGATAAAATATTCTGGTGCTGTCACTGTATTTTTGGGTTTGGCACAAAGGTCTGTGTCCACAAGTTCCCACTAGATGGCATCATGATACCATCAAATGAAAGCTGATTATTGAGAGGAATAGCAGGACAGACTGTCGTGTGTGTGTGCAATATTCTGGAGGTCATGAAACAATAAAGAACATGTAGTTTTGAACAGGAGCCATTCTGTTACACACCAGATGTAAACAGCACAGTTGTCACATTTCCCCTGATTTCAACCAGATATGATCATAAAATGGGATTCAAACTAGCATTAAAAATCTGATTGAAATTACTGCTGAAGAATCAAAACCTCAAATCAAAACAGCTGCTAAATGGAAATTGGTTGTGATTTTTATCAGGTATAAACCTTCAGTTTAACCTTTACGGCAACTTGGATGAAAAGTCCTTCAAATGTTTATTTTTTATTTATTTTATTTTATTTTATTATTTTATTCATTTTGTTATTTTATTTTTTTATTTTATTTATTTATGTTATTTTTTTATTTATTTTATTTTATTTATTTATTTATTTCAAATTTGTTTTTATTTTATTTTTTATTTTTTTGCTCTTTATTTCGTACTTTATTCTATATTGCACTGAAGGAGCTGCTCTTAATCTCATTGTACATGTGTATAGTGACAATAAAGGCATTCTATTCTATTCTATTCTATTCTATTCTATTCTATTCTATGTAGAACATCCACCAAATGGACTTCTTGTCAGTCAGTCCAATAAAGTTGTTGCATCTTCGGTAAAACCTTGACGGTTTTTGCTGTACAGCACACGAAAGTCACAGAGCGACCTCCGCGTGCTTTCACTTCACGTCTATTAAATATGATGCACGTCTAGAAATCTGTTAAATGAATGCAGCAGCTCTCTATAACTTGCAAAGAACAATGAGTGCATCACTTCAGGTACAAGTGTGTGGGTCTTGGGAGCAGCTGCTATATTCTGCTGAGCTGAAAAGAAAACTTTTTTTTTCCCTTTTTTCACCGAGACATGAACGGTGAATAAAATATTTATTCAGGCCGTAAACTGTTCTCTGGTCGCTGCTGTTTAATATAGAATACATCCAGCCGCCTTGGCCGCTGATCCTGAGACACAGTGGGTGCATTGGTGAGTCTGTCTGGATATAAAAAACCACCTCAGTCAAGAGCTGCCCAGTGGGAGCACAAAGCTGATCTTCCGTCTAGACCGCATCCACGCTCACATAATGTCTGAATAGTAAGCAGTCACACCCGCACAGATCAAGCTCCTGTTTCTTGGCTTTGTTGGGTTGTTGTTGGATCTTTTTTACCTGAAACTCTGAAAGTTGTCACACAAATAAGCAGTTTTTTTTTTCTTTCAGAGGTATCTTGAGCAGAGAGGGGAGAGGTAAGTGAAGAAGGAGGGAAGTGGAGTGGATCGGGGAGGCGACGAAACAAAGTGGAGAGAAAATGACAAAGGATGCAAGAAGAGGGTGAAGCAAGGGAGGGAATTAAGTACTCGGCCAGCATGTCGGTGTCGGACACACGAGTTTGATTGGTCGTATTTGCGAACTGGCTCTATGGAGGCCTAATGTACGTCTGCCTGTGTGAGGGTTAATGGAGCCATGCTGACTTCTAAGTGTGAGCAATGATCCCAAGACTCTGCTTGTGTTCACTTTACAGCGTGTTGGCTAACTGATTGACTGTAAGTAGGTACAAGGGTACTTAAAAAAATCCTCGGCTTTGCCCATGAACAAGGTGCGTAACTCCCATTTTAGGTCATAACTGTATACTATGAGGCCTTGCATCACTTGTCCACGAAGCAATCACAGAAACAAAGGAGAGGAAAGCTTGGATCTGGCTGCTGTTATTGCAGGTCAATGCGTCCATCCACACAGCACAGGAGGCCCACGAGCTGCCATTTTCAGAGTGATAATGAAGTCATGCATGTAGTATAGGAGGATCTGGAGATGACCTTATTCCATGAAGGAGTAGGGAAGCTTGAGCATCGGTGGACCAAGTGCATCGAAGTTAAAGGAGTTAAAAAAACGAAGCAAGAACAATGTTCCTCCTGTGACGTTTTCTGATGAGGCAAAGAACTTTATGTAGTACGTTGGTACATTTCTATCCTGCAGCTTGTCACTGTGCTCAATGATTAAAAGGTCTGGGTTTTTTCTAATTCGTGTAGTTTAATCGTAGCAACTGGACTCGCTTGAGTTCCTTGAAGACGTTCCACCTCTCATCCAAGAGGCTTCATCATCGCTGACTGACTAGCTGTGAGTTCCAGATACTGATGTCCTAAAGGAGCCATTAACACTTCAGTTTCAGTTGGGGGTTTGTTGCGCCACCTTTCTAATCTTTAAGAAAGGTAGGAGAAGCTTTTACACAAGAAGGAAAACAAATGATCTCACCCAAACTGGAATGTATTTTGGGCAAACAACCAATCAAACTGTGAAGCTGTGTTTGAATCGCACCTTCTAAATAGGTTAACATAAGTCAAGGTGTTTTTACAGATGACTGGCAAGATGATAACAACACAGTACAAATGTAAACAGACTTAAATACATTTTAGAATTTAAAAAAAAGAAGAGTAAAAAAAACTCCCAATTGATCCAAAATAATTAGACAAATAAATACAATTAAATGCATAATCCTTAAAAATAATATTACAATTAAATACACAAAAAATATAGTAAAATGTTAACATATAGCATCTAAGAGGCAGGTTTTAAATGTATAGTTATGGATGTCAATACTTGTCCAACTAAAAGACTTGTGCCAGAGGACCTGGGGGGGGTAAATGATGTAGAGGTGAGTATAATTGCCAAGTAGTAATAAATATACAGATGGACATATTGATCACTGCCACATCATTGCCATCGTGATGTGTTGTTTGTGTTCCCAGTTGACCAGCTGAACCCTGCGCTTCTGCACCTGTCCACTAGATGTCCTCGGTGCTGCTCTGCCAGCTGCTGTGGGTCAAGAGGTTGCTCTTCTAACACGCCACCTGTTTGCACACCTGTCCCCCAGTAGATGATCAGTCCTTTAATATTTATAAGTGGCACTTTGTTTCTCGTATAATTCCAGTTGACTCGCTGCCCAGCAGCCCTTTTTTGCCTCCATGTGCTTCTCCAGAACCCATCGCTGGAACTGAAAGTTTATCTGACTTCACATTAATTCATTTGGCAGACGTCCAGACCTCCAGGAACCTGCTGCAGCTCAAAACTTTGTGTCTGTGCTGTATTTCGGTGATATCCATGATGGCCCATGAACTCTTGGGGAATCATTTTCAGCTGATTGTTCAGTTCAAGCCTCAAGGCTGCCGTCCCTTCATTCACTTAGACTCAAATGAGTGCTGTTGCTCCTAATCAGCCCAGCGTGTTCACAAAACTGCACTTACATTCTGCAAAAGGAATTAAGAGTATTTTTTCATCTTTTTAAACCACATAACCAGCATTTTTCTCTAAGAACACCAAATGTTTTAGCTGTGTGGCATTAAGCCCAGGGCTGAGCGCCTTAAGGTACAGACTTTGAACCGCAGGGTTCTATGTTTGCATCCAGCTGGGACTCTTTGTTGCTCGTAGTAATCCGTCCCTTTTGCCCTGCTATAAAATAAAGGCATAAAACATGCAACCACAATCTAAGTTAGCTCTCGCTTGTTCATTAGTTAAAGGCATAATCAGACACACAGAGATATTTTTTTTAATTTCCTGGTTCAGTTGGACTTTATTTGGTCGAATACCTAATTTCCACCTCATATTATAAGAAATCTATGTTCAGAAAACTTATCCAGACAATTGAAAAATACATACGAATGCCATCAGATCAGCCGTATTTTTAGAGGAGATCAGGTTCAGACTGTATCAGGCCTCATGTAGGTGAAAGAATCTGAGCCATAACCGCAGCGTTTCCTTGATCTTGGATGTGTCAAATATCTACAAACCGTATATTTACATCAGATCGTCTTGTGAGAACCGTCAGGATAATGAAAACAGCATTTTTAAACCTCAAAGATCATGTTTCAGTATCTGGATATTTGGATATTACAAAAACAAATCTACAAAAAACCAGAATCAGTAATTAAGACGTATCGAATCAGCCTGTTTCTAGCATCTGGCACTTTAGATGTATTTTCACAGCAGCACTGTTCTATCTGCTGTGATGCCCACGATGTTTGTTTCAAGCCAGACACACATTTCCACCTTTGGCTTACAAAATCGATCTGTCTGCAGGTCACGTGTTAATACCAGGTGTAAACGGGGTCACAGAAAGCCATTAGTCTTCTTGACTGCTGACCTCTTGCAGCTGCTTCGTCTGCCCGCCGCTTAACTCTGTATCTTGTTTGCCTGTCTGGTTCCTAAATGTGAGGCAGCGTCAGGTAAAGTAGCTGCAGATGATGCAGTAATCACAGTCTCATCCTTGGACCCACTAGACCTCTCGCTCTGCGATGTCAAGCCGTGCTGCTCTGGTCACCTGCTCGCAGGAGTTCTGGG